TCTAGCATCCTGTGTTTCTGTCTTTGAATAAATTGTCATCTTTCCTTTCCTTATTCCCAATAAAATACAGTAGAATGTGCATTTCTTAGCATTTGTCAGAATACTAAAAAATGTGGTACATCACTGAAAAATAAATCAATATTAGAACAGAACAAGAATTGCAACCAAATAATGTTTAGTCTGTTTAGCAAATAACAGTTTGATTGTTTTAGCCAGGATAAAGTCACATAGGAGTCTTAGGAAGAAGAGAAAAATAAAAGGGGAACTAAGTTCATTGATTTTCCCAAAACAGCTACATTCAAGGCATGCTGTGATCGATAACTGTCAAGTGATTTTGCTCTCAACTGAACTGTCAAGCCCCCAAATGGCTGGTGTCATAACTGATCACATGTGCAGATCAAACAGAGGCTAAAATGGCAGCTTCCTTGGTTGAACTTGCAACAGTTTCCATCAGTTTTCATGCATGCTGCAATGAGTTTTATACACGTTGCAGATTCCTGTGTAGAAAAAATCTACACATGATACTAGTGTTGTGGTGTGAACAGGGCACATAGAGAACAATTGATTTTATTGAGCCCTTGCAGAACACATGCAGAAAAATTGACGTCTCTGCATCATGGTGTGGACGAGCCCTAAAGGAGAGGGGGGTTTAGTTTGGATTTAAATTATCTGGCAATGACAACTCTGAAATACATTGTAATTATATTGTAAAGAATGACTTTACAATACAAAGAATGAAAGAAATATTTTAGCGGCAGTATATGCAGGAGAATCATGCAGGGTGTGACAGCCAGCAGTATGTGTTAATGAGGAGTGAGGAGGGTTTGATGGTGGTTTGTTTGTGCAGGAGAGCAATATGGAATGTATGGCAGCAGGAGAGTGCTGAGTGCATGACAGACCGCGGGCAGTATGTGCATGCAGCAGAAGAGTACTGTGATGAGTCTGACAGCTGACAGAAGAGGAGTGCAGAGGGAATGACAGTGGACAGTATGTGCAGGAGAGGAATGTCAGGGTATGACAATGGCAGCAGTATGTGCAGGAGAGGAATGTCAGGGTATGACAATGGGCAGTATGTGCAGGAGAGGAATGTCAGGGTATGACAATGGGCAGTATGTGCAGGAGAGGAATGTGGAGGGTACGACATTGGGCAGTATGTGCAGGAGAGGAATGTGGAGGGTACGACATTGGGCAGTATGTGTAGGAGAGGAATGTGGAAGGTATGACAGTGGGCAGTATGTGCAGGAGAGGAATGTGGAGGTTATGACATTGGGCAGTAGGTGTAGGAGAGGAATGTGGAAGGTATGACAGTGGGCAGTATGTGCAGGAGAGGAATGTAGAGGGTATGACGATGGGCAGTATGTGCAGGAGAAGAATGTGGAGGGTATGACGATGGGCAGTATGTGCAGGAGAAGAATGTGGAGGGTATGACGATGGGCAGTATGTGTAGGAGAGGAATGTGGAGGGTATGACGATGGGTAGTATGTGCAGGAGAGGAATGTGGAGGGTATGACAATGGACAGTATGTGCAGGAGAGGAATGTGGAGGGTATGACGATGGGCAGTATGTGGAGGGAATGACGATGGGCAGTATGTGCAGGAGAGGAATGTGGAGGGTATGTGCAGGAGAGGAATGTGGAGGGAATGACGATGGGCAGTATGTGCAGGAGAGGAATGATGGAGGGTATGATGATGGGCAGTATGTGCAGTGGAGGGTATGACGATGGGCAGTATGTGCAGTGGAGGGTATGACGATGGGCAGTATGCGCAAGAAAGGAGAGTGAAGGGTATGACAAACAGTGGGCAGTATGTGCAGGAGAGGAATGTGGAAGGTATGATGATGGTTAGCATGTGTAGAGGATACGGCAGGGGAGTGTGGATGTATATTCATGGTTAGCATGTGCAGGAAGTGCAGAGGGTATGGAAGACAGTAGGCAGTAAATGCATGAGAGAATTGTGGAAGCTATGAAAGCAGGCAGTGTGTACGAGAACAATATTGCGTTTGATATGATATAATTAGGATATGATTGTGATAGGGGTTAGGGTGGCAAGAGGAGCATGGTGATAGGGTTAGGGTGTTGCTGATGGGAGGGGTAACATTGACATTGCTGCTTTACTGCCAGCAATTAACCTCAGTCTCAGTCTGGGCAGTGGTTTCAGTGTATAGACCAGTGATGGCGAACCTTTTTGAGCCCGAGTGCTCAAACTGCAACCCAAAACCAACTTATTTCTTTCAAAGTGCCAACACTGCAATGAAACCTGAATATCGAGCTTTTGGTTTAGAAAAAACAACTCGTACAGTAGTGCAAACTAATTAACAGTACAGGGATGACCAGAGACTGCGGACACAGTACAGGGATGACCAGAGACTGCGGACACAGTACAGGGATGACCAGAGACTGCGGACAGTACAGGGATGACCAGAGACAGCGGACAGTACAGGGATGACCAGAGACAGCGGACAGTACAGGGATGACCAGAGACTGCGGACACAGTACAGGGATGACCAGAGACTGCGGACACAGTACAGGGATGACCAGAGACTGCGGACACAGTACAGGAGATGACCAGAGACTGCGGACACAGTACAGGGATGACCAGAGACTGCAGACACAGTACAGGGATGACCAGAGACTGTGGACACAGTACAGGAGATGACCAGAGACTGCGGACAGTACAGGAGATGACCAGAGACTGCGGACACAGTACAGGAGATGACCAGAGACTGCGGACACAGTACAGGAGATGACCAGAGACTGCGGACACAGTACAGGGATGACCAGTGACTGCGGACAGTACAGGGATGACCAGAGACTGCGGAAAGTACAGGAGATGACCAGAGACTGCGGAAAGTACAGGAGATGACCAGAGACTGCAGACACAGTACAGGGATGACCAGAGACTGCAGACACAGTACAGGGATGACCAGAGACTGCAGACACAGTACAGGGATGACCAGAGACTGCGGACACAGTACAGGAGATGAACAGAGACTGCGGACACAGTACAGGGATGACCAGAGACTGCGGACACAGTACAGGGATGACCAAAGACTGCGGACAGTACAGGAGATGACCAGAGACTGCGGACACAGTACAGGAGATGACCAGAGACTGCGGACACAGTACAGGAGATGACCAGAGACTGCGGACAGTACAGGAGATGACCAGAGACTGCGGACAGTACAGGGATGACCAGAGACTGCGGACAGTACAGGAGATGACCAGAGACTGCGGACACAGTACAGGAGATGACCAGAGACTGCGGACACAGTACAGGAGATGACCAGAGACTGCGGACACAGTACAGGAGATGACCAGAGACTGCGAACAGTACAGGAGATGACCAGAGACTGCGGACAGTACAGGAGATGACCAGAGACTGCGGACAGTACAGGGATGACCAGAGACTGCGGACACAGTACAGGGATGACCAGAGACTGCGGAAAGTACAGGAGATGACCAGAGACTGCGGACAGTACAGGAGATGACCAGAGACTGCGGACAGTACAGGAGATGACCAGAGACTGCGGACACAGTACAGGAGATGACCAGAGACTGCGGACACAGTACAGGAGATGACCAGAGACTGCGGACACAGTACAGGAGATGACCAGAGACTGCGGACACAGTACAGGAGATGACCAGAGACTGCGGACACAGTACAGGAGATGACCAGAGACTGCGGACAGTACAGGAGATGACCAGAGACTGCGGACAGTACAGGGATGACCAGAGACTGCGGACACAGTACAGGGATGACCAGAGACTGCGGACACAGTACAGGGATGACCAGAGACTGCGGACACAGTACAGGGATGACCAGAGACTGCGGACAGTACAGGGATGACCAGAGACTGCGGACACAGTACAGGAGATGACCAGAGACTGCGGACACAGTACAGGGATGACCAGAGACTGCGGAAAGTACAGGAGATGACCAGAGACTGCGGAAAGTACAGGAGATGACCAGAGACTGCGGACAGTACAGGAGATGACCAGAGACTGCGGACACAGTACAGGGATGACCAGAGACTGCGGACAGTACAGGGATTACCAGAGACTGCGGACACAGTACAGGGATGACCAGAGACTGCGGACATAGTACAGGGATGACCAGAGACTGCGGACACAGTACAGGAGATGACCAGAGACTGCGGACAGCACAGGAGATGACCAGAGACTGCGGACAGTACAGGAGATGACCAGAGACTGCGGACAGCACAGGAGATGACCAGAGACTGCGGACAGCACAGGAGATGACCAGAGACTGCGGACAGCACAGGGATGACCAGAGACTGCGGACAGCACAGGGATGACCAGAGACTGCGGACAGCACAGGGATGACCAGAGACTGCGGACAGCACAGGGATGACCAGAGACTGCGGACAGCACAGGGATGACCAGAGACTGCGGACAGCACAGGGATGACCAGAGACTGCGGACAGCACAGGGATGACCAGAGACTGCGGACAGCACAGGGATGACTGCTGACCTTTGGGGAGGGAGGGGGAGCGGGTACCTGAATTTGACAGGTACCCGCTCTTACGCTCTTACTTCCGCAGAGTTTTTTTTTTTTTTATCTTACCTGTTCCTTTATCCAGCCGCGCGTTGTCTTCCCGGCTTCTGTAGTGTGGGCGGACAGCCGGATGCCCAGTGCGCATGCGCGAGAAGCGCTGCGCTTTGTGATTGGTCCGGCGGCTTCTGGGATCTGTCATGTGTCCCAGGTACCGCCTTACCATTCACAAAGAGCACTGCTTCTTGTGCATGCGCACTTGGGACCCGGCTGTCACGCACACTACAGCCGGGAAGACAGCGCGCCGCTGGATTCTCCTGGCGTGCCCACAGATAAGGCTCGGCGTGCCACGGGTTCGCCATCACTGGTATAGACTGTGGAGGTGGCACTGCACTAAAATGGCAGTTATTCTGTCACCTCTAATTCTATAACCTTCATCTGCCTTGAAATAAAAGTTAATAATTTATTTTTTTTATATATTTTTTGTAGTGGTTAAAGTCCCTCAGAAAACACTTCTAATGGATGCGTTAAAAGAAGAATCTGGTATAATATATGATTTTTGTATGTGCAATCCTCCGTTTTTTGCCAACCAGATGGAAGCTCAGGTATGATGATCTCCAGTTATTGTGTAATGTCATATTTTCTGTCTGCCTATCTGTCCGTAATCTGCTTTATATTAGTCATCCCTTTTATTAGTTCACGGTTTAAAATGTGGTATATGTTACACCCATATTCAGGGTGTAACATGTAACCTGTTACGGCTGCAGCTGCCCCTGTCCCAGCACCCACCCCTGAGGCCCGCTGTGACAGCAGGCCAGGAATTTTCTCCTCGTGCCTGCTATCACAATTTAAAAAAGACATGGCCATGCGGGACTTTGAATAGGAGAACTACAAGTACCTACAGCCTTTGCGACTATCAGCTTGTAGTTCTTAATGAACTACCAAGAAGTAGTTGAGTGCTCTAGGTAGTTCATTTACACTTTCTGTCAGTGTGTAACTGCATGCTCGTATAAATGACAGTCTACAACAGCCCTGCATTGCACCCGCTATCTGCTGATTATGGGTGACTGGCTTTACAGGCTCCCAATAAAAAAAATTATTAAATACATTTTTTAATCTGAAAAAAAAAGTGCATTTATTTATTGATTTATTTTTTTAAAGCTTAACTTCTCCTTTAATTTTAACCAGAGTTTTCCTCATGGTGAGAACTGTTTCAAGCCTAAAGGGATGTCAGTATAAAGTCTTTCCTATTATAACCAAGACTAACGTGATTGTAGTGAAAACAAGATTCTTGTGCTGGCACTCATTATTATAGATTTCAGCATGTGCACTGGATGGATTATGTCAGTACTTATGAAAGTAGATATCTTCTTTAAATGTATACCTGATGCAGATGCCCGCTCCAGAAAAACAAGAGATTTATTGTGTGGTTTCTGGTTTTTTTTTTTGTACATAGAAATGGGGATTGCTGTAATGTGCTACACGGGCTATGCCTTACACTAAAAAAAGGGGACAGGGGGTGTAATGGGTTGCTAAAATCCTTGTGCATTTGTATCAAGGACAGGTCTAACGCTTATTTTTTATACACTCTGAGACACATCTATAGCAGTAAGTGGAACTTAAACCTTTAACCAGTCATAAATTCAGTGTTGCAGGAATTATAGGTGTTGAATGTGCTCATAGGTTTGCTGTAGTATAACACACATTTGATGAGTCTTGTATGTAGTAGGTATCTGATCACGGAGTCATGTAAGGTTACAAATTCTGATAAAAGTCCTGTAAAGGACAGCGTGCCTGCGGCCTTGTATCCAGAAATGATCACTATAACCATGGTAACAGTTATGCTGTTTGTAGAGCTGCGTTCCTACATTGATATCCTCTGCTGTCCTCACAGGGAGTGAACTCGCGAAACCCTCGCCGCCCCCCTCCAAGTTCTGTAAACACGGGTGGCATTACTGAGATTATGGCAGAGGGGGGAGAGTTGGAGTTTGTAAAGAGAATCATCCATGACAGCCTTCAGCTAAAGAGAAGGTTGAGGTGAGTGGGGGGTTTTATGTAATATAGTAAATTGTAATATTTTCGTTTACTCATGTTTATAGCATCACGTGTTCCATATTAACATCAAGCAGTATCCAAACTACTTGATCTTACGGTTGTACATACACAGACATATAAAAGTCTACACAGTCATATATATATATTTTTTTATAACAAACCAACCGTGCAAATAACATTTTACCTTGTGCATACAGATAGAAATCTCTGGAGCCTGTTTTTGCATGCAAAGTGATAACAGTAGGCTGTAGGCCTCTCCTATAACCAATAATAGTATATTCTCTACTAGAAATTCTGCAACCATATATAACGTCTCTGTGTTTAACCACCTCCCACCCAGCCAATGTACATGAACGGACAGGTGGGAGCTTCCCCGTTCTGAGTGGACTTTCCTATACGTCCCTCAGAACAAATGCCTGGGCAAGGCCTCAAGGGAATGGGGGATGCTGCAACCTGTGACAGATGATCTGTGTAACTGATGATTTTATTGTTCAGCTACACAGATATGCAGCCATTCCGCACCAGTGCACCAAGCACCATTTGACCCTGTCCACATGTCAACATCTGTCACAGTGTCCCATAAACATCTGTCTGTGTACCAGTGCGCACAACATAAATAATAATAGAAATAAAATTTAGAGCACCACCCAAACCCCCCCCCCCCCCCCCACAAAGAGTCAGAAGAAAACCTGGTCTTAAAGTGGATAATGCCTAAAGGTGCCTGAAGGAGAAAATGTCTTACACGTGTGTTATCCCCATACTCAGGAGGAGTATCAGAATTTGTTTTGGGGTGTAGTTGCAAGTATGCCTATGCCGTGTGTGAGAAATAACTTGTTAAAGGGAAGCTCCACCCAAAAGGACAAGTTCCACTTTAAGCCTTTGTCCCCCCGCTCCCCATTAACCGATTCTCGACCGCCCTATAGTAGATATACCTTTACAGGGTGGCAGAGGTGCGCAGAATCATGTGTATATATGTGATTTTGCATTTTTGGGTAGGGGACGCACGCCCTACCTGTGCCGCCATTTGCGACCTTGGCTGTCAGTCACCAGGTCCCGGCCGGTGATTATTCGCTGGTGCCCGGTGATTGCTGAGCATCTCCAATGGGAGCAGACCTGTTTGTAAACAAAACAGTTCTGCTCCCTGTGAGCTCATCACCTACGGCGATCAGAAGCGGAAGTTGTCCTCCCACCTCCCCCCCTTCCCATAGTCTTCTGGGACACGTGACAGGTTCCAGAAGACTACGGGACCATTCACAAAGCGCAGTGTTTCTCACGCATGCGCAGTGGGCACCCGGCTGTGAAGCCGCAAGCTGTCACAGCCGGGTGCCCACATTGAAGATGCCAATGCCAGGGAGAGAAGACGGCCGGTGAGGCGTGGTGAGAACACTGTTGGACCGAGGGACAGGTAAGTGTCTGTATTTCAGAAGTTGGCAGCTACAGTTTTTGTTGTACTATGCAAAGTTGCAACAAACTCTTTTTTGGAGAGTAGCACAACACAGAAAGGCATAACTGGTCAAGCCACAGTCCCAATTTTAAACTCTCAGGCGATGATGCTGCAGGAGGAAACACAGCTCTCAGTAGAAGGAGGAACAAGGGAATTATTCCATGTTACTATATGTGGGGGGGGGGGGGTAAATACTGTATGAAGCAAGCGGTTTTGGTTACAGCGGAGAACCCCCTTTTAATAATGCTTGCTTCAGCCCAGGAAGCATGCAAACCTGCAGTGATGACCAGTTGAACTGCAACCCACAGTACACAGAGAGGAATGTAAGTGTATGTAAACCGTAACAACTTCTAATTGCTCTCTTTAATTATAAATTATGCTGTCAAATGTGTTTTGTTATATCTGTTCAGTTATCACAATATAATCAGAAATTAGTTATCTGTGTACTACAGAATTATCAGTCTCTGTGTTTTGGAGATAGGGGGTCGGTTTAAGTAGTGTTCTGTCCCACCTATGATGTATTTTTTGGTATTGCTTTAACATGTACAGTATCTGGTTATTTTTTGTGGTTTGGAGTCACTGCAAAACATTTGTTTGCATTTGGTACATCCTTTTGTTTCTCCTCTCCTGTTCAGAGCTAGTTAGTGTAGTCCTAGCTACACCCTCCCTGTTTTATTTTATGTTCTCTGTCAGTGTTATTCTTCAAAGAATCAAGTTTAGGAAGCCATTGTCATCAAAGACTAGAAAAACATTCTCTGTACTGCACTTGTGTGAGGTAATATTGTATTGGATTAAACTCTGGTTTCTTCCCACACTCCAAAGACATGCTGGTAGGTGAATTGGCTCCTGTCTAAATTGTCCCTAGTATATGTATGTATGAATGTAAGTTAGGGACCTTAGATTGTACACCCCTTGAGGGTTAGGGACTGATGTGAATGTACTAAATATATGTAAAGCGCTGCGTACATTGGCTGCGCTATATAAGTACCTGTAACAAATAAATAAATAAATTGTGGGTGGTGCTAAGTCAGCAGTTTTGCATACGGTCAGGAAGTCTGAGTCAGGCTGCAACATAACAAAATTGAATATCGTGAGGGGGGGTCTGAATACTTTATGAATGCACTATGCACTGACTTGTATTACTTTTACCAAATAAATGAAACCGAATACACTTGCCTAAATTTATGAAGAGAGATTATTTAAGGTATTACGGAAACTAAGAAAAATGCGGGGTTTTTTTTTTTTAAATTCTTTAATTTTTTTGTCTATTTAGCAAAAAAATAAGAAACACAGTAGTGATGAAAGTACCACCAAATGAAAGCTATACCGTGTTTAAAAAAAAAAAAAAAAAAAAATTAATTTGGGTACTGTGTTGCATGACTAATTGTCATTCAAACTGTGATGATGCTGAAAACTGGCCTGGGCAGGACGGGGGTGAAAGTGTCCAGTCTTGAGTTGGTTAATAGAAGAAAATTGGACAGGGCTGACACCACTCAGTTCACAAAAAGTCTGAATATTGTCAGCCCACAACAAGACATAAGAACTTAGCATATTTCTTGCAGTTCAATGGGTATTTTTCTGTACTTGCAGGGTCTTTAAGAGGATGAATCACAGATTGTGCTTGTTTGTGTCTCAAACGTGTGCTGTGCATTTTTATAAAGTGCTGCTTTTGCGCACACCCATTGGTTATGGAAACATTTGCTTGGTGGTATTCATTCTCAAGCTTGCGCTTAGAAATAAAGCTTATTCTCCAAATAACAGTATTCATTACTACTCAAATCAATATGTCTGCTTGTTTTCTATGTGGGCAAATGTATCTATTACTGCTTGAAGCACTCTGATTTCCAGCTCATTGCCATGGTAAGGCACTGATTCATGCTTGACAGTAAATGTGTAATATGTTTTGTCAGGCGCACAGTATGTCCGCATGTGGTATTTTGCTTAATTACAAGTAGAATTCTGCAGACTGGCAGCAGATCTGGCCCAACCACTGTGACAATTTTCTCTACTTACTGTTAAACCAAAGACCCTGTGTGATCCTTCAGTCTATCTTCTCTTGTAACAGTCAAATGCAGTATTAAGTATGAATCGAAAAGGCTGTCATGTTCCTGACACTGGAGCTGCACTGACAGTAAGCACAACAGACTCTGATGTTTTTGTGATTAGTAAACAGATGGGGAGTATAATCCTGAGCTTGACCGCGCTCAGAGCTAAACCCACCGGTGGTTTATGTTCATAGGAATAGCCCAACGCACACTACTCACACTCACATACACTGAGCTGTCGATTGCTTGATTGAAGAAAGTGATTATAGCACTTTTCTGCAAAGGAGATATGCTTTCAAAGGGTAATTATTCAGATTGGCTCTACAGTTATAACCTGTGAGAAAAAAAAAAAATTATAAAGTAATTTAGTTGTTAGTAGTAACTACTTGTGTCTGTTTTCCTTTTTCATTCTTTTTTGAAGAAGTCTTCTATGAAATCAGTCAATTAGCTGTTAAAAGTAGATGTAAACCAAATCAGTTTTTTCCTTTTTCATTCTTTTTTGAAGAAGTCTTCTATGAAATCAGTCAATTAGCTGTTAAAAGTAGATGTAAACCAAATCAGTTTACAATCAGTTTGCAATTGCATTGTCTACCCCCAAACCTTTCATCCCCCACACAGTACTGCAATAGTATATGTGTTTTTCTAATTTCTGGAGTTGGGCTTTAAAGTGGCATTAAACCCAGACTGTCAAAACTCACTAAATGCTATATGTAGAGTGAAATATACCTGGGTAATCCTGCCTTCAGCAGTCCCTCCCATCTTCCCTGTGTTCCCACTGCAGCCTGAGATTGCGTAGACCAGTTTTTGCCATCTACTGAGCATGATCCAGTTTTATTTCCCTTTTTAAGCTGTTTATTTCCTCCTTTTTCCTATCTGTGCAGTCCACATAACTATAGAGTCACAAATGTGGGCATATACACAGTGGTAAATGACACTCCCCTCCCTTACTCCTCCTCCATGTCCTCATATTGCTAAACACTATGGGGTGGGATATAGTATGCTGATGATTACATTCACTAAGAATTCCACAAAAAAAAAACTTAACTTTCTAATATAAATCAGTATTAAATATATTAAATGTGATTGCTAATACCTGTTCAATAAAGATGTATGGTGCACTCATAAAGTATTCACACCCCCTTCGCTTTCTTCAGTTTTCTTATCTTGCGGCCTGATACTGCAGTTGTTTAAATTCATTGTTTTCTAATTAATCTACAATTTGTACCCCATAATGACAAAGTGAAAACAGAATTTTAGAAATGTCTGTGAATTTATTAAAAACCCTTTACTCACTACTTTGTTGAAGCACCTTTGGCAGCAATTACAGCCTCAAGTCTTTTTAGGTATGACCCAATAAGCTTTGCACACCTGCATTGAGAGTTTTTCTGTTACTCTTCCTTGCAAATTCTCTCAAGCTCAGTCAGGTTTGATGGGGACCGTCAGTGGACATCCATTTTCAGGTCTTTCCAGAGATGTTCAATAGGGTTAAGGTC